GTCCCCACTGCTATGCCCACATTGCCAGCCATCACACTGTTTTTAACACTGGTCTCCACAAGCAAGCATGCTACCTAGTCCCTGGCCTGTTAGGGTTCTGTCATCTCCATTATAATTGAGAACTCTAGTTCTGTGTTCTATGAGTTTGGCCTATCTTTAGCCTGCCTGTGGGGAGGACCTGCCATGGGGCTTCTATTTGCCAGTGCCTTCTTGATGGTCCTTTGGGCCTGGTCATTGTAGGTGGCACACCTCTCCTCTTGTGGATCCTAATACCCCAGATTCTTTACTCCCCTGAGACTCTGTTCCTCCCATCTTCCGTATGCTTTCTAGCACTTCAGTTTGTCCCAGTTGGCTGTCACCTTTGTCCCATTCTTAGGAGTATCTGTATTGAACTTGTTTCCTCTCTTGGGGGTTTCTACTAGATGGTTAAAGGCAAGCTCTCAGGAAAGCATCCAAAATAAATCTTTTCTTTGTACAGTTCCCTACTACAGTCCTCGGATCCTTCCTGAGTCCAGAGCCACAGGTCCTCCTCTTGGTATTGATGACCCAAATGGAAAATTCTGCACCTTTGGGATGTAGTCTCTTCCTTCCCTGTTTAGGCATGGAACCAAATGAGGGATGTCATGACTAGTGATATGTACTTAGGGGGCTGTTGTCTTAGAGAGCAGAGGCTGCTGCATTGTATTTCAGCAAGGTGAGTAGTGGGGGTGTTAGCTCTTACTAAGACACGATGGGGACCTCTCTTCTTCAGGCTCAATGGGATCAGAAAATTCCAGAAAGGCAAAATATTCATGGTCATTGTTCTGAGGTCTCTATTGCATATACTATATCAAGGCCTCAGGTTTTCCAGGTCTGCACCTTCTCACATCAGTCCTGCCCTGCTTAGTGTTTAGCCTTCTTTGAAGTTAAGATGCTTAGACATTCTTTTTGCTGTTGCAGGATATTAGAGCTTTGTATGTAACCAAAGGTCCTCTGATGTTCAGTCCTGAATTTCAGTGCTTATGTTTTGGACTCAATTGTTGTTACCTTCTTATAGAGCATCAGTGGCCTTTAGCAACTGTCACCCAGTCCTATTAACTTTGATATTCTCTTTCTTTCCTGAGGTTCAAACACCTAACACATAACACCATGTGTTGCATTCTTTTTTGGCCAGGGCCATCTGTACTGTACCCACCACTGCATAGGTTTGTAGTGGCAATTGGATAAAGTGTGACCCAGCTTCAAAAATCCAGCTTTAGCTCTTGCAATGTTAGAATGCTTCTCTTCTGGTACCAACTGAAATCATTTGGAACTTCTGGAAGCAGCCTCTGAGCTAGACTGGAGTGGGAGGCATTCACTGGGGATAAATTTTTGTGAAAAGACGGAAGTAGGAATAAGTAGGACAGGTTGGGTTGCAATGCATATCCTACAGAACCTCTCCAGACCCTAAACAGACTTGCCGGGCCAGGATTCAGAACATCAGGAACATGTCTTTGTGTCCACCCTCATTCAGCTACCAAATGCACCCTGGCAAGATGAACTTGAATAGAGACATCTTCAGCTGTCTCTGTCAGGCAGCCGTACATCATCTGAAATTCCATGCTCTAGAATGAAACCATCTCTTACAGTAGCAAATAGTCTTTCATCAACCAAGTCAATGTATTTTTTAAAACAATAACTTGTAAATGCTGCATGGTAGACATTCAGATGGAAAGCAGCAGGCTAAGGACTCCTTTAAGAGCCTAGGTTGTGTGGTAGGGATGTTCAACATGGAAATAAGCAATCTATGGCACAGATGAATCAGATAAACTTTTGAACATATAAATGTATCCTCTTAAATCAATTTGATTTGAAGCACTATGTCTTTACAATGTATTTTTTGTGCAAAGTTCCTAAGACTTGAAGTCAAGGGGACGTTGTAAGTATGCCTGGACCAGACTGTCCAGATATGTACTGGCTGAGGTATTTTGGGAACAGGGCAAACTACTGTTTTACCTAGAATCTGCTTTGTTACCCCTATGCTGTGTCAGCTATTCCCAGGGAGTCAGTGATGTCCTTGCTGTGTAGTTGAGTCCATGAAACCTGTCCCCATGTGACCTTGTATGGATTTATCCATCCAGCTGCCACTGACCTCCTATGCAGCACTGTCATAGAGTATCTCCTCCTTGTGGAGACTTTGCCAAATAGTGATTTAGAAAAGTATATCCCCCTTATGGAGCTTAGTAGAGCCATTGGACCCTTATGCTTCTCTGGACCTTTCCTGTCAATATCAATTAATTCTTATCTTCCCTGTTAGTTCCTCTTACTAAGCTGTAAACTTTATTTCCCACAAGCTTTCACCAGGTATTTTCTTTGAGCTCCGAGCAACCTACTCCACTGCCTGGGAACAGTTGGGAGGCGACAGGGGCATTCATCACTCATCTCTTCCATGGTATTGTGGATTGAACCCAGGGCTTTTCATAGTGAAATGGACATTGGTGAAATGGGAACATAGCTCAGGATAATCATGAGTTATTACTATAAGAAGCTGAGGATGAGAAAAATAAAGAGACAAAGCTGGAGTCAAGTGGACTACTTATCCTCCTGATGGGAGGAAAGGAACTGCTCAGCCCCTGTAGCACCTTTATTTATATACTGGGAAAGATGATGTCAATTTCAGCCCCTCTGCCTACCAACCATTGCCTTCTTGGCGCTGGAACAACTTGTTTACAAGCTTGTTTTGGTCTTTCTGTTTTTTCTGGGTTGGCCTTGCTTTAGCCCCACACATGAGTTCAATCTCCAGCTTCAATGGCTCCCTACAGTAGTTTTGCTTTTTTATCAATATTTGTAATTTTCACTTGTTACATCTTGGCAGAAGTTTGACCATTTTTTTTTTCTGTATAAGAGACAGATCCCATGTATGCTAGGTAATCATTTAACCAATGAGGTACATTCCTAGTCCTTATTTGTTTGATTTTTGAGACATGGTATCCTAATGCATTTCAGGGTGGCCTTGAGCTCACTATATAACCCAGGCTTGATGTGAACTCAACAATCCTCCGCTGGAATTATAGGCAGGCACCACCATGCCTGGCTCTCAGTCCTTAAAATTTTGAAACAGGTCCTCACTACATTGCTGTATTGCCCAGACTGGGCTTGAATTTGGAATCTCTCTACATCACCCTCCCAGAGATTGTTGGGCTACAGACATGTGCCACCACACTTGGCTTCCTATTTTTAAGTCAGTAATACATTTGACTAACTTATGGTAATTTTGTTTGCCTTTTGAGACTGTATCTTGCTGTGTAGTTCAGGTTGGCCTTGAACTCACTATGTAGCCTAGGCTGGTCTCAAACTCATGATGATAAACGAGTTAAAATGAACTAATGAAGTTATTGTGTGGCAAAACAGGTTTTTTTCTTTCTTTTTTGTAAGGGCAAATTAACATGGTTAAAGTTTCTATAGTTCATGTCATCTGGAGAAAAAAAGCTTAAGCAGAGCAGGAAAATAGAAGAGTCAAAGTAAGATTATGCAGCTTTTCAAAGGTCCATTTTAAATAATTTTTGATTTAAGAGCAAGTAACAACCCTTAAATTATGTCAGAGTACTAGGATTTGAATTGTCTTCATAAACAGGCTGATTGTGTGTAAAGAAAAGACTTGGGAAATGGATGTAGTGAAGTTATAGTGAGACTGTAGGTCAAAAATGATAGTTTGGACAGGACTAGTAGTTCTGATTAAACAGGCACATACTACTGCTCAAGTTTCCAAAATAAAACTTTTCTGTCATTTTCTTATGTTATCAATTTAATGAAACAAAGTGATTACCTAAGAGGTCTAGCCAAGGCATCTGTGGTGAGTACAAAATGAAGTCATGAGAGTGGATGACACTGTGGTGGAAGAGACTTTAAAGAATGAACCTCTAGGGCTGGGGATTTAGCTCAGCGGCATAAGTACCTGCCTTGCTAGCAGGCGGTCGTGAGTTCGATCCCCGGTACCGATAAAAATGAAAAAGACAAAAAAAAAAAAAAAAAAAAAAAAAAAAAAGAATGAACCTCTAGAAACACCACCCACGCAAGAAACTAAAGTCTTCTAACTACCACACCTAATTCATAACCCGGCCCTTTAGATTCTTCCTTTAAATTTTTTGAATTAGCTTGGATAATCCTATTCCTTCTGTACCAGTGTAGATAAGTCTCCACCTTATGCACCCATCATCTGGCCTTCCAAGCTCAAACCTTAATCCCTCAAGTCATCCTTAAAGTAAGGCTCTAGAATGCAAATGATCATATTTCTTCTCAAAATTCTCGGGTTTTCCCAATTACTGTTCATTGCACAACATTCAGATTTCCTTCACGAAATCCTGCTTAGTCTCCTGTCTTTTTCACTGAGCCAGTGGATGTATCCCTTTTTTCATTTTGTACAGCACAGTGTCTCTCTTGCCTCTTTCAGACACCATATTCCCAAACCTTGATTCTGGGCATGGACCCTCCCTGAGCCCTCAGACTCCAACACTGGGCCTTTTCCTTCCCTTCTGCGGACAGACTCAGCTCCTCTGGGTCCCGATGCTGTTCTGGCTCCCCAAAAAAGGAGTTAGCTAGGCTCCCCTTTCCCCAGCGCTTCAGCGTGACCGAGAGGAGCCTCCGAGAGTCTAGGGCAGTCAGCTGCTCTGTTCCTTGCTAACTATCCCCGGACACAGTAGATCACCATCGCGGTCCACGACTCTGGAGAGTGGGGGATATTTAGCAGGCTGCGGTGGTGACTGGAGGCGAGGTCATCTTTAAGTCTTTGTCCCTGATCTTGAAGTTTTGATGTCTGCTTCCCACCGTTCCAGAGGCCCGAGGGCGCTGACCAGTCGCAGAGTCCGAAGTCAATTCTGGGACTTGTAGTTCATCATGGGGGCGGTTCAGGCGGGCCGCAGGTGGTCCTGGGAAGAGTAGTTATCTGCATCAAGCGGACTTTATTTTGTGGCGTGGTGGGTGTGGCCGCGGAGAACGCTGGGAGCTGTAGTAGAGCTCAAACTCCCTTTCCTTTACTCGCCGCGATGGTCTCTGGGAAATGTATGCTGGAGGACGTGTTTGCGGGGCATCCTGGAACTGTAGAGTGGCGGAGACGCCCAGTCTGCCTGGTATCCTCTAGGAAATTGTCTGAGTCTAGCCGTTTTTGTTTCCAGTCGTTGTAGCCTTGGCCACGTGGCTCACTGGGATCTGTAGTAGGGAAAAACCCTCCGTCTTCCCTCGTGACTGTGTCCCCCAGGAAGTGTAGTTGTTGGCGGCATGGTGTGGTCAAGGTTGCAAGTCTGAAATCCTATGAAAGGCGAAATTACGCGATGCCTCGTTCAGCTCGAAGTCAAGGATGCAGATGGGTACAGGGCTGCTCTTAGGGTGCTAACTGTCCAAGGGTGGCTGGGAGCGTTCCTACCTCGGAAGACGCCACCCCAGCGCCTGTTAGCGGAGAGACCGCGTTGCCCAGGCCAGCGCCAGAGCCCGTGGTGGTGCAGGGACGCGCAGCGTCGGGCGGAGCGTGGCGGCGTATGGGCGCTCGGGCTCCTTTTTCCCGCCATGGCCGATTGGTAAGTGGGTGTCTCTGTCCCCTTCCTGGATGCCCGCTTGTCAGCTTCTCCTTAGCTGGTGTCACCTCCCCGACGCAGTGGTACAGTCCCTTTTTCAAGGCCGCCGGGACTGCTCCAAATGCCCTCCTTGGCAGCTCTTCACTTTTTCTTACTGAGAATCCTTAAGCATTTGCGTCAGTGGTGCAGATCCTTGGAAGGCCAGGATCGCGCGGAACTTGCGAGGAACTTGAGGCAAGGATGCTGGGCTCAGTCCTGGACCCGAGTCGGAAGTGCTGGGAACGCCGTCCCTCGAGAGATTCTGATGCTGTTAGGGGTGCAGCCATGAACAAAACTTAAATTGACAATACCCGTTTTGCAGATATGACTGTACGTTTCCTTACCTAGGAACAGTGATGTTTTCATTTTGGTTGGAACTAACTGCTGGTGATTGTCCTTCACAGAGGTGGGCATAAACAACATCGACCATTACAAATCACCTCTTGTTTTTCCTGGCCTACTTTTCGTCTTGTCTCCAAATCCAGAGACTTGTGTGTTTTGTTGTGGAATCCAGTTTCCACCACTGCTGCAGCTCTGTGTAGTCTACGAAACAGCTTCATTTATTAGTGAACAATGTTTTACCGTGTCTTAAACTTTAAAACTGTAAAATATAACTTTCCGTATATTTAATGATTGCTATTAGTGATATTTTTAATTCCTGTCCATACGTTATAGCTGTATGGATTCCTCAAGTGGAATTAAACCAAGCTTCAAAGTAGGGTCTTATTATTTTTTTACCCTGTGGAAAAGAGCTTAGGTTTTATCCTGGGAAGGATTACATTTCCTACTTTGGGGGTCTGTGTACTACATTGCTTACTTTCCTTGTGTGACATTGATACAATTTCTGCTGTATTTCATTGTAGCTAAGTTTCTTTGGGATGACGTTGACAGATTTGACTTTGCATGACCCATTTTAAGGGTGCTGCTGTTATCTGTTGCAGCCAACTATTATCGTGAAGAAACTCATATTAAAATAGGCTAATTTTGCGCTGGACTCGGCAGCACAAATACTAAAACTTTTAACTTTTGGTACCAGGGATTGAACTCATGCCTTCGCACTTGCCAGGCTGGCGCTTGTGCCGCCAAGCTATAGCCCCTGCAAATGGGCTGATACTAAGGAAAACATACTGCTTATTAAATGCACTACTTGTGGTACAGAAGATTTTAAGACTTTTGCAACCAGAGTGAGAAATCCAAGTTGTTCACATATATAGTCCTAAATCTTGAGCAAAACTAAATTATTTCAGGACAAATTGCTTTATTTTTCCTCCTTTTCCTCTTAGTTGTGTAATTACTTAGCATTCGAGAAATTCTCATAGCCACCACTTACAAACTCTCCACAGTGAGACTTATTTCATTCCATGTTCAGGGTCTTTGGGGCATGGATGCTATTTATACACATATCTGTATGTAATTGCAGGGATCAGTGACATACAGAGATGTAGCCATAGACTTCTCCCAGGAGGAGTGGAAATGGCTGCAGCCTGCTCAGAGAGATTTGTATAAATGTGTAATGTTAGAGAACTATGGTCATCTGGTTTCACTGGGTAAGTAGTCCTCCTCATTTCCTTCAAGATATAATTTTATCTTTAGAACAGTTGTTGAAAAGTTTGATTGTCTGGTTGAACAGACATAAGGGAGGTATGGCTTTTTAAAAATGTTTTAAATTGGGGGTTGCAACTTTAGCTAATGTCCAGATATTCTTCATACTTCCATCTAACATTTATTTATTTATTTTTTTTTTGGTCTTTTTCGGTACCAGGGATCGAACTCACGACTGCCTGCTTGCAAGGCAGGTGCTTATGCCGCTGAGCTAAATCCCCAGCCCCTCTAACATTTATTTTAATGGCCTCTCTTTTCTTATAATTTAAGGACTGATTTTGAATTTATTTCATTTTCTGCAAGCAGGTCTTTCCATTTCTAAGCCAGATGTTGTTTCCTTGTTGGAACAAGGCAAAGAGCCCTGGCTGGGGAAAGGAGAAATGAACAGAGATCACTTTTCAGATGAGTTAGGTGATAGTAAGGGAAATTTAAAAAAGTACTTTGTTTTTTTGAGACAGGGTTTTGCTATACACAGCTGACCTTGAATTCACTATGTACTCCAGGCTAGTCTCGAACTCTTGGTGCTCCTCCTGCCTCAGCCTCCTACGGCTGGAATTATAGGCATGCCTAGTGCTGGAATTCCTACTAGTGCTGGAGTTATACCATACGTACCTTGGAGGGGAAGTTTTAAAAATAACAACCCAACTAGTCAATGAGAAAGCTCTACTTTTTAATACACTAGTTGGAAAATGTTCCCTTAAAGATAGGAGAGATACAGAAACTATGAAGTCTTGAGTATAGCTCCACAAGGGACAATGTCATACCCGGTTCTTATATTTTGCCCCCACTTTTACACAAATAGATACATCCTGTTATGTCTCTGCCCCATGTTATGTTTTTTTTTCCTTCACATTGGCGTGTTCCTAGTACATATACATGTGTATGTATATGTATGTTTCCAGTGCATATATATATATTTATTTATGAATCTCAGTGGTAGTGTTACATTTAATTATCTTAGAAAGATTAATTCATTCTTCAGCTATTTTTTGGTGGTAGTGGGAATTGAACCCAGGGCCTCACATATTTTAGGCAAGCACTTTACCATTGAGCTACATCCCCTGCCCATTTTTTTGGGTAGTTGATAATCTATTCATTTATTCATATTGTCTCCTACCACTGTTTAACATATTGAAATCTTGTTAAGACTTTCTCGTATTGTATTGCATTGTATTGCAATGCATTGTATTTATTTTTGGAGCCAGGGATTGAACTCATGACCTCACACTTGCCAGGCAGGCACAGTGCCACTGAGCTAAATCCTCTAAGACTTTCTTTTAATACAGAGTCTTAACTGACATACTGTACTGAGTCATTTAGTGTAATAAATAAACTATAATAGCTACCAAGGAATTTATGATGTGGGATAAAATGTGTGTATAGTTTAAGTTAGAGATTAGTAGTTTTGCAATGAGAGAAAAAATTTATTTTAAGTTGGTATTTTGGGTGTGGATAATTTGGCTAAGAATAGTAAAATAAAAAGAAAATGGTCAATTTTAGAGAAAAAAGACAAATTAGTTTGACATTTGCTTGGTGTTGGTAGAGGATGGTATTTCCAAGAGAATGTGTCTAGCAATAAACTGTAATATACGTTAGGAAAACATTCAGGGTGGGAATCTTAAGTAAAAACTGAAACCATACATTAAGTTAGAATTGCTCTGAAAGCTTTCTTTATCTTTGCTTGATACTGGCATTGCTGGTGAGACTCTTTAAAAATAAGTATGGCCATGCCTTACCCTTGTAGATTCTGAGCTTAAATATATATATAAAATACAAAAATTTCTGTTACTTTTATAGTTGGTTCTGAAGCAAAGGTCTGTGGTTAGAAAGTGCTCCTGTTGAGAAAAAAGGAGAAATATGTGTATTCAATAAGCAGTAGATTGTAAGTCCTGATGAAGGAACAGGAAACAGATGCTGTAAAAACTGAGCTCAGGGGGCTAGGGATTTAGCTCAGCAGCATAAGCGCCTGCCTTGCAAGTAGGCAGTCGTGAGTTCGATCCCTGGTACCGATAAAAAGGAAAAAGACAAAAAAAACTGAGCTCAGCCCACAGGGCCAGTGTGTCATTAGTATCATACACGACCGAAACTGGTGCACTATCTAGGAGGCTGCAGAGGATTTGGGAAGAAGATACCGGTATGGCTAAAGTCATGAGGTGCAGCAAGTACAGGGAGACTTCATTTAAGTGTGAGATAAACAAGAAAAATGTTCTTTTCTAAATGTTGTTGAGAATGAGAATGAAAATGAGGTAGGGTTTTGAACTTGGAGCGAGGGGGTCAAGTAGTTCTACTGCCTCTGCTTGGTTTCCTGAGTAGCTGGGACTATAGGCATGGGCACTGTGCCTAGCTTTTCTTCTAATTTTTTTTTTTAAAGTAACAAAACCTATTAAACCATGTACAAGGAAAGCAAAAAAAGGACCTGGAAACACTACATCAACTCCTACTTTTTAAATATAGCTCTTGCAGCTTTTGTGTTTAAAAAATCTCTTTTATTGGAAGCATCTTATAATGCATTCACATAGATGTGGAGCCTAACGGGTTTATTACCAGATAATACCCAGGTAACCAAGATAGTAAATAGACACTTACTGCCACATCCCTGAGGTGTGTCTGCCTATACCAGTTCCAAACTGGAGGTATGTTTCTGCTTTTGTGGTACAGTTGAGTATCTTATCCAGAATATTTACAAGCAGCACATACTATTCAGAGTTTGAAATATTTGCACAGACATTATTGATTAAGTACCTCTAATCTGAAAATGCAAAATCTGAAACTTGTCATGATATTTCAACTAGTGATACTCAATGTGCAGTAACTTCCTTGGTTCTGTATAGTTTCTTCCCTTATGTATGCATCTGTTCACTATAGTTTAGATTTGTAAGTTTGTAAGCTTTATATAGTATTCATAATTTATTGTGACTGCTTCTCAATTTTTAAAAAAAGATTTATGCATGTTGCTATACTTACTTGTTTTATTGTGTAAGGAGGCACAACACAGTTTTCCCAGTCTGGTGTTGAGGGCTTCTTAGGCTGTTCTCAGTTTTAGAGATATTACTATTGCAATAGAGATATTATTATTGCATTTTATTGCTGTTGTATTTATATCTTGGTATACTGGCTCAGGTTTCTCTGTGGTATATACATAGGACTGGAATTGTTGGGTTTAGAGGGTAAGGCATCTCTTTCATTTCATTTTTTTTGTTTGTTTGTTTACTGGGAATCAGACTTAAGACTTCATACTTGCCAGGCAGGCACTTGTGCTGCTAAGCTAAACCCTGGGCCTTTTTTTTTGGTACTGGGGGTCAACACTGAGCTAAAACTCTGGCCCTACCTCTTTCATTTTAATAGATAATGATAAGATGCTTTCTAAAATACTTTTCCTAACATGTGTTTCCATTAACAATAAAAGTTTTCTGATAGACATCATAATCTATGATGAAGGGTCATAATTTTCACTATCAGAAGGTTATACTGTGGGAGCTTATGGTTTTGTGTGTGTGTGTGTGGCTTTTTTTTTTTTTTGAGGCAGGGTCTCACTGTGTAGTTTGCACTCTCCTTGAACTCAGTATGTATCCTAGGTAGCCTTGAACTGATTGATGGTCAGCCCCTGCTTCAGCCTACTGAATACTGGGATTATAGGGATGTGCCACCTCACTCAGAGTTGGTTGTGTTTTATACTTGAATTTCTCTGATTTCTCATTAGATTGGCATCTCATCATATATTTATGAAACATTTAGCTATCCTCCTCTGTGAAGTACATCTCAAAGATTTTTCCTCATTTATTTGTTGGGTTCTCACTTGAAAATCTTTCAAGTTAGACGTGCTCATAATCTCCGCACTCTGGGAGGCTGAGGCAGGACTGTGGCAAGTTTGAACCTAGACTAGGCTTGGGAAGAAGGAGTGCACTGGCTGTTGGACTCTAGAACATATGTGTTATGAATTGGCATAAAGATTGTCTGCATTTTGCTCGTGTCCAGAGACTTTGCTTGAGGCTGAGATTCAGGGCAGCAGACTAATCTTACAGAAGAAATTTAAAGGCTGTCTAATGTTGAGGTAGTGGCATGGCTAGGTTGGGAGCTTTTAGCCAGATTTATGTTAAGAATCAAGAGGAAAGAACCTAGCAGAATGATATGAAACATTTTAAATTTGGCCAGAAAAGAAGCTTCAATAAAGTTGCAACCTGCAAAGATGGAACTGAGGAGGAACTGGTCACTTGTTGGGAGCCATTCAAGCTGGAAATTGACCACATATGTAAGGCTGAGCATGACCATTTTAAGAATAAAGAGTGCCTGGGGCAAGCCACCTGAAGAAGCTGCTTCAGCCCAGAGAACACCTACCCCCAAGACAATCTAAACAGTGGGTTGCTAGGACAACAGGGTATCATGTGATACTAAGTTGCTAAAAGGTATAAATAAACAACCCTGCAGTGAAGACCCAGGAAAATAAAGACTCCCATCAGGAAAATAAAGACTCCACCTGACCCCAGCTTTGTCTTTTTGTCATCCTTTTGCGGTCCTTAATCCCAAGAACCTCATGAGCCACATGGGTTGTGACAGTCACTGAAAAGACTAGCAAGAAAAAACCAAGTATTTCAAAAGAAGACAACAGAAAAGAGGACCTGAGTATATCACAAGAACCAACAGGACTCCAGCCTTTGTAGCCTCAGCGTTGCAGAGGTAAAGGAATTTGCTTTGAAAGAGAGCCCCAGAATACCATTTTGCAAAATGGCAGTGGCCTAATAATTCATTCCTCAGGATTAGTTTCAGAGTTCTCAGTAATCTAGGTACTCGTCCCTTACAGCCAAGAGAGAAGGAAGCCTGGCTACTCTTCTAGCTGGTGGCACACTTTGGCATTATCGACATGGTGCTGGTTTTAGCATGCAGAATGCAAGAGTTATGGGGTCAGGAAGGCTTTTACTCTGATTTCAGAAGGAGGCCTGGGAGACCAGGCAGTGTGCCCTTGAGAGGGCAGTATGTGAAGCTATGAGTGAAACCAGAAGTGCAACAGGATCCCAGAAGTTTGGAGAAGTCAGGAATGTGGATCATCCAAGAAAAGCTGCAAGGAGGGAGCAGAGCTAGCCCACGAGAAGCTATGGGAGTTATAACCGCTGGCAGGGCTGTAGAGTCCCCTTTGGAATTCAGATCTTTCACAGATTGCCTTAGATGAAAGACATGGTACTACAGGACTCATTGCCCTGCTGGATTTTGGGCCTGCTTTTGTCCCATTCTTTTGTATGCTCATTTGTAACTTTTAGAATGGAAATGTCTATCTTGCATTTTTGAGTGCTGAGAGTGTTGTAATTTCTTTTTATTTCTATAGGCTTTTGCAGGTAACTTTTTCATAAAGTGCTGTCCATGAGTCTTTGGGAGGCCAGAGGCAGAATGTTACGGCTTGT